TAGGGAAACGTGTAAGAAGTGGTATCTAACACGTTATAAGCAAGTAGTACTGTGTAAGGCATGTTTTCCTACTGATGGTTATGTCCCTACTCCTCACTTGTCTTGCTGTCAGTTATTGCCGCAGCGTTTAGCAGTGCTGGATGCAAAAGCTGGCTCTCTGGGATTCTGTACTGATAATGGAAGAATAAGAGCACAGCAGAGCTTGAGTCTTGTAAAATTATGACACATGGTGTGATTTAATGCTTTTAATTTTACTAATATAGGCTAAAAAAAAATGTTCAAGAATTTAGCATCAGATGTGGTTTTTTTAATGTTGCAGTGGTCACAGAGGAAGAAAACAAAATACTGAAAAAGATGAGACAAAATCTTCTATTTCAAAGGAGACTAAGTCTTCAGGGAAGTCAAAAGCATCTGTACTGGCTTCCAGAAGTTCCAATAGTGCTCCTGTTTCTAAAAAGTTGAAGCATACTGAGCGTACTTGTAATAAAAAGACCCACCAAAGTAGAGATTCTGTGTCTCAAAAAGAATGTGATAATAAAGAGTGTAGCAGCAGTGGTTCTAAGCATGCTTCCAAGGGTACCAATCCTCAAGCTAAAGAAAGTGACTTCAAAGAGAGAACCTCCACAGACGGCAAGAAAGTTTCAGAAAAGCGGCATTCTTCTGTAGCCAGTAAAGACTTATCACCCCTGAAGGAAAAGCCTAGTAAGGATGCTTCCAAACAGAGAAATCCTGAGCATGTGAAGAAACCAAAACAAAAAATTGGTTTAGAAAGCAAAGCAGAATTATCTAGTGATGAGGAATTTGAGCCCCCTACTATGTCTTTTGAATCTTATCTTAATTATGATCAGGTTAACAAAAACAGGAAGAGAAAGGCTAGTTCTACAGGTGAACGGCCAAAGAAGTGCAGTGAACAGAAGAACAGCTCATCACCACGAAAGACTTCAAAATTTTCTGATGGAAAAGAGGGAGAGGAAGGTGCAAAAAAATGTGAGGGTGATCAGTCAGAAACTCCCAATAAAAAGGTAAGCCACTGCATAGTTGAGATAATAGCAGAAAAACTGCGAACAAATAAGTGCTTTGGACACATATCAGTGAAATTCGGCTGTATTTATTTTAAGCAATGGATTGTGTGGCTCTGACATATAAGCTGCATTGCAATTGCCAATAATTGCAGTAATTGGGGCAAAAAAATGATTGTTAATTGCATACTGGCAGTTGACAATCGACTTGTCTTGTATTTTTAGCCTGCTTTCCAATATGGCAATAGTCTTTGATCCATATCAGCTAATCTGCTTTTTACCCGCCAAGTAAAGGTACTTACCTTTGGAAAAATGTCCCTTTCTTCCATTCTTGACCAGCCTGGTTTGTGACTGTAACAGCTGTTTTCTGTGCGGCACACACAGGCATTCTGTCAGGCTGTGGTTCTTTAGTAGTAAATGTTAAGGTCTGCAGTGGAACTGAACTTTCTTCTTTTAATGCATTGAAGTAAACCACAGTATTGCATGTGAGAATAGCTTATACATGTTTGTAATATGAATTGTCCTAGTTCCTTAAAGTGGAAGAAGCTTAGAAAGCTCCTCTGAGCCAAGGTAGATCTAAACGTGTATTAATTAGATCTTTTAAATGAAGCCCTTTTGTGCACTGGGAATTAGAGGTCTCTTCAGTCTTTTATCTTTACTGTGATGTGAAAGCTCCAGGCTTTATTTATTGTGGAAGATCTGCAATGTGAATGTGGTATCTTCTCTCCAAAATGGAGAAATACTAATGTAGAGGCTTGTGTATGATATTCTAGCATAAACTGAGGAAAAATCTTTGATATTCAAGCAGCTGTGAAAAATTGTTAAAGATAGTGAAATGAAGTTCAGGGACATGCAAGTTTGGGGCTGTAAGTGCCTGGCTTACAATTGGATGACACCTAAGACCCAATTTAGATGTTGCACATAATGCCAAGCATTTGTAGGGACCTGTACTTACCAGTGCTGCATCTTTAAATCCCTTTTTAAGGGGTTATCTGTGAAAACTTTTGGCTAAATGGCCTATCTAGCACAATATAGGGGACTATATTAGAACCACATATAAAGCTGTTTCTTGTGTCTCAGGATGGCGTTTAGTTTGCCTTTAAACATTTAATTGTGGTTTTGTCATCTTGCAGTTTTGTCTCATTCACTGTATGCCTCTAACATCAGTAGTGATTTATCTGAAAGCCTGTTAGCTGAATGCATCTGCTCTGTTCTTTAATCTCTTTTTATGCACTGATTGCAGATATCCCACTAAGTTCCTTTTGTGATAGTCTTGGTAAGTAGAGTATGAAAGGGCACGCTGAAAAGTAACCTAGTGAGTAAATTTTATTGCAGAAAAGCAATAATTCTAATCATACTAGTTAACTTTGGGGTTTGCTTAAGGGTTTTTTTTGTAGCTTATTTTAAGCCTTGGTAAACCCAAATTTGTAATGTTGAAGCAATGTTTCCTTGACTGTGCACAGGCCAAGGTGGCATCCCTCCAAGATCTTCTTAATACTCCACTGCCTAAATTTCTGACAGGCATCTCAATCTCATCTCCCCCATATGCTGCAGACTTTAAAGGTAAGTAGGTTGCAAGGCTGATAAATGTGAAGTAGTGCAGGTTTTTACAGCTCTACGTAGAGCAGAGATGTCTTTATTCCCTTTTCTAATAAACTATATTAGCTCACCTGTCCGTGGCAAATAAATGCCTCACCTTCACTTTCTCATCTGTAGAAACCATGTTGAAGTTGAAGTGAGTTATAAAGGCTTCCCTTTTATGGCTTGGCTGAATAAATATGTACTGTGGAAGGTTACCATAGATGTAGAGAAGGCATAGATCAGGTGGTAGTTCTACAGGCTCCATTTATCTTTACTCCTGTCTATACCTTATAGCTGGCAAAGCCTTAGTAGAAATCATCTTGGGTAAAACAACTACAGGAAGCACTAGGCCTAGCTTCAGCATAGGAACCTGCTAGCATCTTTGTAGGTAGGTGACACAAAGTGCCAGTGGTTCCCCTAGCAGGTCTTGTGAGGTTTCAGTGGTCTTGAAACATCACTGCTATTGCAGCTTCTGGCTTCTCTAGGACAACTCAGGAATATCAGTAATGTGCTGTAGGCTGGTAACAGGGTAATCTAGATGTGAATATAGCTTATGTAGACCTGAGCTAAACAGTGTAAGGCTGCCTTGAGTTGGTGCATCTTATTTGCAACGTACATGCTGTCTTGTTGTTAGATGATGATGATTGGACATACAACATGATATCACATACAATATGTGTAAGGGCCCCAAACTGTAATGCAGTGCCTTTGTACTTCAAGAAAAATGAGAGAAACACATCTGGTAGGACATATGTATAGTCAAAGCTGATTGTTTAAAGCATTGTAAAATGTCAGAAGGTAAAGGAAGCCCTGGCTGATGTTCTGTTTGCAGCTCCCCTGGCACCTGTTGTGGAAGCACCCCAGCAAGTCAGTGAGACGGTTCAATTCACAGGACGGAGATTGAATTCTAAGATGCAAGTGTACTCTGGCTCTAAAACAGCCCATCTTTCAAAGATGCTTACGCTGTATGAACAGTGCATTCGTGTGCTTCAAAATAATATTGATTGTGAGTACTTTAACGGATTTGTATCAGGCTGTGCCTGAAGGTGTATGAGATTTCTTTCTTTCTCCGTGCTAACAACTGGCCTGCTAAAAGATACTGCCCCTCCCCACAAATGGTGACTCAGCAGGTTGAAGGGCACTTGAAAAATGGATTTATGGCCATGCTAAAATGTAGTTTTGTTTTGAAAGCTTGCCTTTTTTAAAGTTACAATTTTATTTAAAATATAAGTCCTATAAATCATAAGCCAAAAAGCCTGATGACTTTTTCCCTCCAAGATGATTGTTTACATAAATTAGAATGAGTGATCAAGAAATTGTTTATTCCCTTGTAAGCAGAGAGGGGAGTTATGCACATCGGTAAAAATGGGGCAATAGCTATTCAAAGATGCTTTCTCCATCCTCAAATATAACTGCCAGTCAATATGGAACTATTGATTTATAAATATTTTTATAGCCTGACTTCAAAACATGTGTTCTGTCAGTGCTTGCTAAAATTAACTTCTATTTTTATTTTTAAAGTGTTTCGTGAGTGGTGTTACCCACTGAGTAAAATAAGTAAGATACTGAAAGTACTGTCCTCTTTTGTAGCACTACATCAAGTAGGAGGTGTGCCCTTTGAAATTCTTGAGCCTGTGCTAACACGTTGCACACCAGAGCAGTTGTTTCGAATAGAGGAATGTAATCCGGTAAATTCTGCCTCGTTGAATTCAGGGAACCACAGAGGACTTGAGGCATCTGTTTCTGCCTTGCACCTTTTTGATAAAGATTCTGCACGGGTTACACTGGTTTTCTGTCTTGCATACTTATTTCTTTGAATTCAGCTGTCATTATCAAGCCTCCCTTTTTCAACTGTCAGGACTTAAAGAATTTTGGGAGAATTATTACTGATTGACTATGTGAAAGCCAATGTGGGTAGAAAAGTATTTCTGTTTCTAAAAATAAGTAAAGAATAATAATTAAAAAAAAAAACCTGCAACACAAAACCCACAGTATTTACCACTGAAATAACTGGGAAAGTCATAATAGGACCAACTGTTTTCAAATTACAAACTGTTGAGTCTGCAAAGCATACCAGTCGGGAAGTAACTGGTGTGAGGTTTCATGTGTGTGGTAGATTTATATCCAGTCTTAGGACTTCAGTTCCATGGTGTGTTTGGACATCGAGGATCTGAGTGTGTAGCACTTCATAATGCAAGTTGGACGTTTCTCTGCATGCCTAAAGTTGAGAGCGGGTGTGGCCTGAGCCTGTGCTGGAAACACAAGTCTAGCCTCTAAGCATGGCTCATTAGCTCAAATATAGAGTTCTGCTATTTGAAGCTATGTGATTTCTAGACTGAAGTCAGTATCTCTGCATGGTATTGCTACACTCCACGTTGGTACCTGTGACAGCATGTGTGGAGGGATTTGTTCTGCACCTTTTTCCACCAGGGGATTGGGCTTTGTCTACATGCTCAGCTAACAGATACTCTTGAAAATGTTATTTTTAAGTCTTTGATTTAAGGTATCCTGTGTTCAAATTAGAGATTTACAGAAGAATCTGACCACTTGTGGAAGAAACACTGCCAGAGAGATTTTAAAAATGAGAGCCTCCTGGAATATGAATCTTGGCGTGAAATGTACTTGAGACTGTTTAATCAGAGAGAAGAAAAACTGAAGATACTTACAAAAAATATTCTTTCAGCTCAGTCTGAGAAACCAAAAGGTAAAATCTGTAGTTAGCTTTTCCACTTACAAAACCTAGTCTCTTCTGCTATTCTTGACGCTTAGTATGTATGTTTAGTGATTTGTTTGCACTGAGCACTAATGCTGTACCTCTAGGAGAAGTCATCAGGAACAAACACTGTTCCTTTTAATTTACAAGTTTCTCAAAAAATAAATACATGTATTAATATGATACATTAATGATAATACTTGCAGCATAGAGTAGACAAATCTTACCTTCTTACTTTACTGGTTAGACTGAGGATTCTAAGCAACAATGCAAAGAGTACAAATGTAATTACAAATGCTAAAGCTAATATGAAGAAATACTGTATGCAGTCTGTATATGATTTGCCAGTGTTCAGTTACTACTTTGGTACCATTTTCTGCTTTTGTGAATTATTTTTTCCCAACTTAAACTTAGAAATTGCCACACAACCATATTATCAACTGAGATTTGAACATAAAAGGCAAAAAGTCACATGTCCTCTGGTCCTTGCTTCTGTATTAGGCAGGCAAGTAAAACTGGCTTACATGACCAGTGCAGCAAAACCACCCAGGAACATTCGCCGACAGCAACAAATCCATGGGACAGCGGGACCTGTCACCCAACTTCATCCCATAGAGAAGTACAAGTAAGTGTTCTGTACTGTGCTTTTAATTTGATTTTAGATGTCTTTGTCAGTAGAAAAGCTTGCTGGCAAAATATTTTTAAGTTATAAATGGCTCTCTATTTACTTACCTTTTTTTAAAGCAGCTAGTGGCTAAAAACTACTTGCCTTTTAAGTCTTACATGCTCCTCTGCCATGTATGCATTGTTGTATTGGGTTTGCATGGCGAAGTTTTGGTAGCCGTGGGGCTACAGGGGTGGCTTCTGTGAGAAGCTGCCAGAAGCTTCCCCCATGTCTGATACAGCCAATGCCAGCTGGCTCCAAGACGGACCTGCTGCTGGCCAAGAGGCTGAGCCCATCAGCCATGGTGGCTGTGCCTCTGGGATAACACGTTTGAGAAGGGGGGAAAAACCTGCACAACAGCAGCCAGAGAGAAGAGTGAGAATATGTGAGAGGAACAGCTCTGCAGACACCAATGTCAGTGAAAAAGGAGGGGGAGGAGATGCGCCAGGTGCTGGAGCAGAGATTCCCCTGAAGCCCCTAGTGAAGACCATGGTGAGGTAGGCTGTCCCCCTGCAGCCCATGGAGCTCCACACTGGAGCAGATGGCAGCCCATGGAGCACCCCATGGCAGAATAGGTGGATGCCTGAAGGAGGCTGTGACCCTGTGGGAAGCCTGTGCTGGAGCAAACTCCTGGCAGGACCTGTGGCCCTGTGGAGAGAGGACCCAAGGCTGGAGCAGGTTTGCTGGCAGGACTTGTGACCCTGTGGGGGACCCAGGCTGGAGCAGTCTGCTCCTGACGGACGGCACACCGGGGAAGGGACCCAGGCTGGAGTAGTTTGAAGAACTGCAGCCTGTGGGAAGGATTCATGTTGGAGAAGTTTGTGGAGAACTGTCTCCCATGCGAGGGACCCCGTGCTGGAGCAGGGGAAGAGTGTGAGGAGTCCTCTCCTGAGGAGGAAGGAGCAGCAGAGACAGTGTGTGATGAACTGGCCGCAACCTCCATTCCCTGTTCCCCTGCATTGCTTGGCGAGGTAGAGAATTCAGGAGTGAAGTTGAGCCTGGAAAAAATGGAGGGGTAGGAGGAAGGTGTTTTAAGTTTTTGGTTTTAGTTCTCATTACCTTACTGTGATTTGATTGGTAATGAATTAAATTTAATCTTTCCCCAAGTTGAGTCTGTTTTGCCTGTGATGGTAACTGGCAAGTGATCTCCTTGTCCTATCTCAACCCACAAGCCTTTCATTGTATTTTCTCAATTTTCTCTCCCCTTTCCAGCTGAAGAGGGGAGTTAGAGTGGCTTTGAGCACCTGGTGTCCAGCCAAGGTCAGCCCACCACAATTGTCATTGCACATTTCTCTGAAGTGCCTGTGATGAATTCACCCTCCCAGCTGGACAGTAGTTGGATGCTGTTGTTTTTCTCCAGATTATACTAATGCCACTTGACATTCTGGGGAGATTCCAGTGTTGATGTTTCATGTTTATAAACCTGCCTAGTAGCCTCACATGTTCTCCTGCTTTCATAAAATGTCCAAGTGATATAGCTGACCACAGTGAATCTTAACAACTTTTAATAGTCTCGATGGTGGGTTTCTGCTTTGGCAGCTTAAAGGAGTGTCTGGAACAGTCAGTTTGCAGCAGTAACCAGCACTAATTGCTGGAGAAACAGAAAACTGGGGTTCCACAAATGTTTCTTTTGTACAGCACAAAGCCAGATTTTCTTTGTGACATATTAGTTCAGAGTAGTTCAACGGTCATGAGAACCAAAGCTGAGGTGTGATATTTGTCCTACTGTTCCTGCCAGCTTAATGCACTCGTGTATCCAAGAGGATGGCTGCAACAGGGAGCTAAAGCAGCTGTAGCACTAGCTTCTACCTTTCTCTTCTCAATTATGTGGAGTCAGACTGCTGGTTTTTACTGTTTGAATAGCTGTTCTTGTCTGAAAGAAAAATCAGCAGTTTGGTTCAGAAGCACCCCTGGGGTTGATGAGTCCATGTGCCAGCAGTTGGACCATAAAAGCCGTGGAGAGTATTCATACTGTCTGAACGTGGGTATCTTAAGCTGCGGTCGCTCACTGCTGCGGCTGCTGGTGAGCATGGTGGCCCTCCCTTGTCCCCATTGCCTGTGGTTGTTCCCATGTTGGCAATAAACCGCTCTGCAGCTAGCTCTCTATTATCCCTTTGTGGGAGCGGCAGGTGGAACATTTTTCAGTGATAGGAATTAGGGGACAGTTATGCAGGCTGACAAATACGTGAGTGGATAGTGACAGATAGCTGGGAACAAAGGAGGATAAAACTTAAGCTGTTGCAAACAGGATGCAAAACTGACTTTAACTCTCCTGACATGTTCGGCTATACTTTCTAAGTTGTTTCTGTTCTGATGCTACGGGGCTTGTAGTTGTGCTGAGTAATTGTTCTGTCTTAGGCACATGAGCTAGATAACTGAACTGATCTGGGTTTATTGGGGGGCAAAAACCCCTACAAAACGATGGGAGAGTGTGTTTTCTGTGAATTTCAGGAGCTTGACTTAGTTGAGCAGCCTTGACTTAGTGCTCAAGGTGGTGGTGGTATGGGGCAGGAATGATGGGGCATGGCTCAAAATCAGCTTTACACCAGATACAATGTTTTTATAGCTGTATCTTTAGCTGGTGAAATTGGGAAGCTTCTTTTCATGCTGTTGCTGTTACCAATGAAAAGATAGTCCTCCACCAAGGCAATAGCTTAAGGCACTTTAAGTTAGGCTTTTGCTTTCAGTTGTACTGTGGGAGGTTGTATCTGTTGTGACAGACCAACCTTCCAGTTTAGGTGCTTCAAGTACATAGTGTAAATGTCCTTTCTGCTCCAGTAATCTCTGGACCAGTAGCTGAATAATGTACTCAAAGCCCTGCATATTTTTTTTCTCAGGCATGGTAAATTAGGAGGAACTGCTGTTGTGTGAAAAAAGCTGTAGGAGGGTTGTTGCTTTGCTGCCTTGAGAAACAAGAGTTTGTTTAGGCATGATTAACTTTGTTGCTTTGACCATGTCCTCTGAAGACCTACTGGTTTTGCAATTTGTGCACCTGAAACCTTCACTTAAGAAGCTGGTCTTGCAGGAGCTAAAAAGGTCCTGTGGCAGATGTGCAGTTCCCTACCAGGCTGCTGTTTGCAGTTCTGCATGCAGCAGCATACAATAACTGGCAGCAGATGTCAGTGACTGGCTCTGAGGCGTACAAGGCTGCCCAGATTGGTGACATCATGCTGACACTTTAGTGCTGTGTTGGTTTAATGGCCTTTAGCAGTAGGCATCAGCTCTGTATCTGCGTATGCCTCAGTCCTTGTCCTGTTGATTGAGGATTCCAGCCTAATACTTAGGATTAGTTATTGTGACTTTTGATAGACATTCCTACTTAAAAAAAAAAAGGCAAGCTTGTGTCAATTTGCCCTCACTTTCTGTCAGAGAGCTGGTTAGCAGTTCAGCTGTGTTTAAAGAGGAAAATAAACACCAAGAGCAAACTAGAGCACAGGGCATTATGAAAAATTTTATTTGTCACAAGTTCTGATCATTTAATTTTAAAGACAAATAAGATGCATCAAATCTAGTAAATGGAAGATTTGTGCAAGAGTGGAAATAGACTAGATGACCATCTGATAGCCCTTATAACCTGAATTATCTATGATTTTTAAATGTATAAAGTCTTAAATGTTTGAGATCTTTTTTCCAAAATGAGCCAGAGCAAATAGTTTGATATCAAACACTAACTTTTTTTTTCTTATTTCCTTGTTTTAGAAGAACAAGGATTCCAGAAAGCAGAGACAGAAATAACACATCATCAAATCCGATCCCTGCTAGCAATAGTGGAGGTTCTAGCTCAAGCATAATAACTCGAGATGGAAAGAAGCCTATGAAAAGTAAATGGAATTTTCTAAGATTGTAAAGATAATTCTTTTAACTTGCTGTCCACTAATATATGCTTAATATTATGCTAGTATCATTTAAGTCATCCACAGCTGTAATCCTAACTAGTCTCTTCTCTTTTTTTTTTGTTATTGAAGAAATTGCACCAATCATGAGGAAAACTTTGAAAGCATTGAGGAGTAGAGCTGGACGACGGTAAAATGAGGCTGCATATCTGAAACTTATGTGACTATTTGTATATCATGCTACAGCTAATTAAAGTAACATTAATGTAAACATTCTTCAATTTGCCTTAGTTAAAGCAGTTGTGAAACGTTGCAGGGGTGAATCATTTGCAATAAAGATTGAAACATCTGAGTCCTTCCATATGGCTACTTTCTTATTCATGAATGAGAAAAACTGAATTGAAATAAGGTCAGTACACACTAATGACAAATCAGTTTATATGGACTATTACAGATACTGTCTTTATCAGTTTATGTACGCATTTTCTTAAACTTTTCATGGAAGCACTTAAGCTGTGTGTATATTTTGCCAAGGTTAAAGTTACCTTGCAGAAATGGCCCCAAGGTGTACTTAGATACAGTTGCAAAGAGGTCTTGGTTTTCTTGCACAGAAGTGTTTTGGAAACTTAGTGTATTTGTTTCACTAAAGGTTTTCCTAAGGGAGACTTACATTCTGCTTTTTATGAAAGCATGATTTGGTTGGATTTTAGTTTTTCCTCTTCTGGAAACAGAAGACTGTTTTGAAGACAGTCCTGGAGCTCAACTTTTGACCTGCTGGAATTGGGCTGTGAAGGGCTGTGAAATATCCTTGACTCAGGACACCATGTGCTTTTCAGCCTTTTTACTTGACTTAGGCAATGAACCTTCAAAGGAGAGGTAGGAGAAAACAATGTTTAAATTTAACATTGCTTTTTTTTTAAGCAGGATTTATATACTGCCAGGGTAAATAGAGCAGGCCATGACAGTAAGTCAACAAAAAATCATGTGTTATTCAGGAGCTCTGTTTAGTTGGACACTTTTGGTACAGTAATTAAAACCAGACTTGTCATTGTGTGATATCATCTGAAGGCATTAAGTCCTTGTGTGGGAGATTTGTTCCCACAAATACTAACAGAAGGGAGGGAAACCAAGAATGTCATCAGTCTGCTGTGGTCATCTTGTACAACTCATGCAGAATAATCCATTTAAGTCTGTAGATGAGAGAACTTGTGCTGTACTGTGATCTGCTGTGCTCAGCCTGTTGTGAAGAGGCCTAGCTCACAGCCTTGAATATGAGCCTTTTGTGTTGAAAGTGGAAAAGCCATTTGGTCTTGAATAGCTGTTCTTTCAAAAGTTGGGGACTGATGCAGTTTGGGGTTGGTCTGTGAATGGGTTTGCTTTTAGAAATGAGATACTACTTTGTAGTGGCTTCATCTAAACCAGTTCACTTGCATGAACTGTAAGTCTGACTTTGCCTTGAAGGCATGGCTTACAAATGGAGGGACTCTTTCTATAGATGGTACTCAGTAGCTGCAAGAAGGTGTTGTTTCTTCCTTTCTACTTCTATAGGATTTGGCATATTAGAACTCTTCCCAAAGCATAGGGTAAGGGTAAGATCATCATGAAGCCAGCTGCTGTCTTTTACTCAAGACACATATGTGAATTTCCTCACCATCTTGCCAATTTTCAGGTAGATAACAAAAATACCGCCACAAAATGGCGTTTTCAGTGAGGTAACGTAGTCACCCATACACAACAGCTTGTGCAAATGCTCTATTTATAGAGGGATTTTAAGTCAGCAGGTGGTGTAGTTTTTCTCCATGTGTTACAGTTGCACTAAAGAATGAAAGATAAAAACAGGTGTATTGACCTGGAAACCCTGTGGGGAGCTTTCTCTGTCTCTGGGATCAAAACAAGTTGACTAGTAGAGAGGTAATGCAGTGTCTGTCATACACATCTATAAAGAATACTTCTGGAAGGAACTACTCAGTTCCATGTTCATTTCTGTCAAATTAAGTAATGGGAAAAAAATACAGTCATGGAAGGAAAACTCTGCTGTTGTGGAAAAGCCCATAAATGGAGAATATGTTTTTTCTTGAACTGTTCCTTTCATGCTTAGAAACCACTTTCCACTTCCTGCCACTGTTTGTTTCATAGCTTTCAGGAACGTTTTCTATCCTGTTAGTGGTTGAGTCCAAGAAAGCTCGGCCTGACTGCCATTCCACTTAAAAAAGGACGTATGATCTTGCCACTGAAACTGTCCCTGTGGCAGGAGAAGAAAACAGTTTTAAGGTGAAGTGTTCTTTCTTGCAAGACCCTGCTCAGAGGGCATGTGAAGTTCCAAGAGCTAAGCTCAGCTCTTCTTGGGGACCATGTAGATGTTCAAATGCTAGGTTAAGTCCTGAGCCAAAGCCAGGACAGGGTTTAGGGTTTGGCGTGATCCTTCTGGAATAATTTTGAGACCTCTGTGAACTGCATACTGTTGTCAGTTGTTGCTGTTCCAATGATCACTATTTGAGCTGCTGCTGAAGCAAGGCACAACTGGGGTCTCTGGCAGCAGGGAGGATGTTACAGCTCTGAGCATGGTGCTGTTGGCTGTCTGGTACCTGGGGATTTCTGAGTGTTTCTGGTAGTCATAGGATAATCACAGCAGAGGGAAAAGAAATCCCCTCACATGGTGTGAATCTCAGACTTGCCATCTGAAAGCTCAGGAAACTGTCTGGTGCCAGGATTTAGTGTGGGGAAAAAATGTTGATGGATTGACAAGTAAGAAGACATTCCTAGATCTGCTGCTTTTCGGGGGAAAAAAAACCAACCCCCACCCAGCAACACAAAAAACCCCAAAACAACCACTGAGGGTTGCCTGATTCTTTTATTTGCATTTTCCTTCTTTGCCCTTCCTGTAAAGACAGAAGAGGTCTTTGAGTGGGTGATTGAAAGCTTTCAAACTCCTTCAGTAGTTTCTGGGAGTTGTCATATAGGGTTCCATACAGCTGCCTCCCATGCTTTCCCACAATACGATAGGACCCATCAGTGAACAGGGCATATTGCTTCTCATTTTTGGCAGTTTATTATATGTTGGGGCCTCCTCCGGTGATACTCTGAAAATCTTTGCTTTCTGGCCAGTCCATGATCACTTCCAAGATTCCTGGGCAATTGATGTTTCCTGTTCGAGCCCACCGTGTGATAAGTGTGACCTCCGTACTCCACGTAGCATCAGTCGCGTGATGCGTAGAGGGGACCATCCCTTTGAACATCCAGCCCAGCACCAGCAGTCAGGGTGCCAGGAGGAACTGTGCTTCAGTACCAACCACTTCTGAGGCAGCTCAAACTCCTTCATATGCTACTAATATCTTCCTTTTCAGTTGGAGTACAGTGGGCCCTGGATCCGCTGTATCCCTGACTCCAAAACCTGAAGGGTCAACCTTGAGTCTCCCCTGGTACTCTGTCAGAGACTCCAGGTAGGGCCATTCTCTCTGGCTGCTGTGTAGAGCACACTTTTTACATCTTGTCCTGCTGGGACTGGCCCAAGGGCTACCACATGAGCAATCTCCTGTTTAATTTGTTCAAAGACTTGTCGTTGCTCAGGGCCCCATTTGAAATCACTCTTCTCACTCACTTGATATAGAGGGCTTACAATCAGACTGTAATTTGGAATATGCCACAACACCTGAAAAAGCTTGTGTTTATTTTTCCCTAGTTGGTGGAGACACAGCTGTTGTTTTGTTGATCACATCCATTGGGATCTGATGATGTCCATCTTGGTGTTTTATTCCTAAGAACTGGATCTCCTGTGCAAGTCCCTTGACCTTACTTTCTTTTATGGCAAAACCAGCTTTCAGAAGGATTTGAATTATTTTCTTCCCTTTCTCGAAAACTTCTTCTGCTGTGGTGCCCCATACAACGATGTCATCAATGTATTGCCATGCTCCAGAGCCTCACCCTGTTCCAGTGCAG